AGAATCTGCAATAATCTCAAAATAAAAATTTTGACTGAATGATAAAACATACCACCACTTCCCCAAAGTCACACATACATCTAACTGGCCAGATTTACTTAGTCACTCAGCCATACCTAATCCAAACAAAAGCTGGAAATCTAGTCTTTATGTTGGGTGACTGAGTGCTCGGTTAAAATTCACAGAATTACCGGGAGACAACTGGCTGTTTCTGCCTCAGTCTCCCAGTCTACTTTGTACTCAACAGCCAGCAATCCTTTCAAAACATAAATCAGACCACATCACAGTGCTTTATAAAACCTTCCAACAAAGGCCCATTACATTAGAATAAATCCATACTCCTTACACTAACTTCAGAGATCCTATGTGACCTGACTGACATCTTACTACCTCTCTGACCTTCTGTCAGCTATCTATGGCTACAGGCCTTCTTCCCATTATTTCAATACCCCAACCTAATTCTTGCCTCAGGAACTAGCTATTCTTTCCACCCAGAATCTTTCTGCATGTCTGGTTCCTGTCATTTTAGGCCTCTCTGACTCTAAAGAAGCTTTATATTTTCTTCTTCATCTATTTTATTATATAAGCAATATTTTAACTATTATTTCTATTGCCTGGTAGTTTTATTATTATTATTATTTGTCTCTTCCTAGTAGAAACAGGGGCCTTGTTTGATTCACTGATGCATCTTACTGACTAGAAGATTGCCTGGCCCACAATAGCACTCAATAAAAACTAGATGAATACATGAGAAACTAAGCCTGATCCTGACTGTATCTTTTTTTTTGTAACAATAATATCTAGTACAGAGAGCCCTACGCTAATAAATTAACACACACACATATCATGGTTAAGAGGAGCCACACAAATAACCCAGCTTCTTTTTGTCTGAGCATAAATCAGGGGATAGCAAAGGAATTGATTTTTCTTTTTCCTTTTCAGATACCCTGACACGTGATTTTTACTTTTCTCAAGCTGGTTCAATTTACCTTCATTAGTAATTACATGTGCCTCTTTCTAAGCCTTCTTGTTTCAAGCATGTAAATGGTAAACATGGGGTTTATTCAACCTGTCACAAGATACCCAACGTAACAACCACCTGTTTTCTGCTCCCTACTATTTTCTATAATGGAAGCTGAATGGAATTCTATTATAGTCCACATACTAATTGACATAGTAATAACTTGTTTTCAATAAATTAGGTTCCAAAGAACAAAAAAGTACCCAAATTTGATCAGGCTCAATTTTACTTACTGGTTACGAAAAAAGATGGATAGGTGAACTTTGGGACCACTTCACTCCAGCCTACATGAGCTGATCACAATGTCAATCAGTTCTATTAAGTAACTGTAGCAGAAGAGCTTGCTCTTCCCTGCAGAATGTGGTAAAACCTCCTCGTTAGCCACATGCTCCTGAAATGGCAGTTTTGAATGCTCTAATTACAAAGGAGTCTTCCTTATACAACCACTGCAACTGCCTTCAGATTATAATAAAACTAGGTTACATTTTAAAAGAGCATTTGTTTTCTTCTAACCCACTAGTAATTTCCAATATACTCCAGGCATATTTAAACAACATGTTTTAGTGTCATTTTGACTAGGAATAATTGAACTTTAGTACACTCCATAATTTTGTGATATAATATATGTACAATATATTTTGAAAGTGTCATTTTTGGGGCGGACCACTATGATGAGTTTGAGATGTCAAGGACCCTCACCACTTCAGAGCAGCGTTGCTCTTAGCTGTTGTTTTTTTTTTGTTTTTAAGTATTTAAAAAGGTTCCTCTGAGGAATTTCTCCTGTTAAGGAAAGTTTGGAAACCACTAGATTAGATTGCCTTTTCAACTCAAAGACCAGAATAATTGGGGTCTTGAAGTACCCTGGGATATGTATTTTCTTTAATACTAACAATTACTCTGCAGGCACATAAATTTAACAATGATAGGAGGTTGTTCTGAAGTAGTAGTAATCCGGAGCAGATTGTTTTAAAACTTTAGATATGAAATTTATTTATAGGTTATCTGTTTTCTATCTTATTCCCAAAAGGACTGAAAGTGGCTTTGATGTGAACTTGTTCTGTAATGCACATGTGTGTATAACAAGGCTGCATGTTTCTCCTAAAAGGTGAGTTTGGTTTCAAAACATTGATAAACTGGACTCTAGTTGAGGATTTACTATAACAAAACAATCATTTAATCAGACTTTCAAAGCCAGAAAGTGAATTTTTAACAAGGCTGTGTTTAGAAATATCACTATTAAAGAGACAGCTTTTCAGTACTGTATTTATTTCTGTATAGTGTACTTCCTTGGATGAGGCTTAAGAATGAAGGACAGGAATTAATATTTGTCCCAGTCTTTGATAAGATTTTTAAAATACAGTGCTGAGGGAAATTTATGATCTGTTACACCATAAATTTAACCACCATTTATACAGATTTAAATGTAACTGAGTCTAATAGGATTCTCCCAAATCAAGTGTGCGGAGTGAATAAAAACAGCAAAAAATGGGTTTATAATCCTAATGTAGTATTTTCATGTGCCTATGATACTTACTGAACTTTGACAGAAGGTTTAGTCAAATTTTATAAGACCTGAAGTGATCATAAACAGTTAACAGTTAAAAGTGAATTATTCAGTTTCAACAAGATATGAAAGAATTTAAAAGCTTTAGTAGTTATCCTTTTGTATTCATTGCTGAAAGTAAAGCAAAAAGAATCAATGGCATCCTAAAGAAAATTACCTTCTGACTTAAAATCTCACACACTCATTATGGCCGATTTGTTTTGTTAGAAAGTGACCAGAGTATCCTACACAAGCCTTTGGGTAGGTGATATCTATATTATGCAGATGTTAGATAACTGCTTCTGATAAGAACCTCCTCCATGTTGAAGCAATTCACCTTACAGGGTACTTAAGCGCTACTTTTTTTATGCCTTGGTGTACACAATGGATGGTAGCACTGGAAAAAACCAATGTTTTTCTAAAAGGTAATTTGTAAAAAAGTAAAATATCAATTTTTGTAGAGGTAACATGCATTTGGTTGAAATAAAATCAAGTGATACAAGTGAGCCTGCAGTGAAACAGACTTCCCTTCACTCCTGTATCCCCAGTCTCCTATATTTCCTTCTCAGAATTGGCTTTTGTTCATTTCTTGGATCTTACTAGACCAATTCTCATATTTACAAGCACATATACATAAACTTTAGAAGAATTAAAATTAGCTTGCTTTCCTTTCTAGTAAGACTACAACAGCAAAAATTTAGCTTGAGCCTTAAAAACACTTCTGCATATAAAATGTGTAGGTTGAGTAACATTAAAAAAATAAAAGGCAGCTACTACATTGTTTTCACTGTAGCTCTGCAATCACCACGGAATTCTTTCCTGAAAGGTGTAACAGCTAACTGGTTCACCACAGTGGCCAGAGAGGGCGGTGCGGACCCACGACAAAGGCAAGACAGGAAAACTGCAAATCCTTTCCCATTCAGGAAGTATCAGATTTGGTCCTGTCCAGCTGCGTTTCCTCAAGTTCTGCAGGTAAAACTGTGTAACAGAGCTACCTTGATTTCTCCCCAGGGGGGCTCAGAGGGACTGTCATTGTGATGTTTGACAGCCCTAAGGAACAAGAAAGCGAACTCCTATAAGGAACATCATCGGATCCTACTGCGCATACGGTTTATTTTCGAAAGAGTAAAACAAAATCTTAATTTCAAAGGATTGGCTATATAAATTAGGAGTTAACAGATAGGAAAAACTACGCAATTTCAGTTTTGATTTTGGTACGAGGAATTCACTAAGAATTCATAGGGTGACTGAAATATTCACGAGCTATTAAGTTCCATGTTACTTTATTACATACAAACTGTATATGTAAGTATTCAGTTGGGTAAACATCTTAAATTGCTGAAATCCCAATATGGATTTAGGAGTATCTGGAGAGTAGATGTGTCCATTAAAATTAAAAGCATAATTATACTGAATTGTCTAATGAAACAAATTTGAAAAAGTGTTAATATGGAGTGGGGAAAGACAACCAATATTTTTCATTCTACAAATATCGATACAATAATACACTAAATCTGACAGCTACTATAATGCCGTAACTCCTACCCAATACGAAAAAAAAGAGAATATTCTACAACATTATAAACATACAGCTATTCAGTTTTGAATTTAAATCAGTAAAGGAAAGGGGAACCCTTTCTTGGTGGTGGTTTCCCTCTGAAAAGGGATTTATTCAGACCTAGTTTCAGAAGCAACTTTGTGTCACAATCCTAATTACCTTAAGTGTATACATTTTAATCGAAAATAACACCTACTGGAAAATGCGAAGCAGCTTCAGTGTTTTACAGCTGTGTACTTGGCAAGCCGACTGCTTTAGTTCCCGGTACAACAAATCAGTACGAAACAGACACCGGCCGCAGGGTGTTTCGAGGTCCCGGGCAAGGGGCCGCGCGCAGCCCCGTGTGGGCGGCCCGAGCAGAGGCGAGTGGCGGCGCCCGCAGTGATGCCGCAGCCTCCGTGGCCACAGCAGGTGGGACCCGGCCCGGCCCGCAGGCCATACGCCACGAGCCACCTGCCACCGAGGGGGTTCTTCGAGAACTGCCCGAGCCGCCTCGACTGGACCTTTTATGGTTCGCGTGGAATGACTTTCTGTCACTGAATGCTTAAGACGACCGGCTTTTGCTCCACTTACAGGAACCCCACAACTTTGCAAAGCGACGTGCGGAATTCCAAGGAAGAGGCGCGAGGGCACAGCTCGGAGGGCCCGGGCCACCGCTTGCCGATCCCACCGCGCGCTCCCACTAGTTCCCCGTAGCCCGCAGACGCGCAGAGGGCTGGGGAGCAGCGCTCGCAGAGCGGATCACCCGGCGGCCGCGGGGGCTCCGCGGTCGGCGCGCACCAAACAAAGAGGCGCGCCGGGCGGCCGGCGCCGGGCAGGCACGCGGAGACGCTGGCCTCCGCCCGCAGGGGGCGCCGTGCGCGGCCGCGGGCGCTTACCTTTGAGGACCGAGCAGAGCTGCTCCAGGGCCATGTTCCCAGCGGCCCAGAGCTTCGCGAAGGGCCGAGGCGGCGGCCAGGCGGAGACAGAGGCGACGGAGGCTCGGTGCAGCTCTCAGGGCCTGGCGCGGCGGCAGTCCCGCTGCGTCCCCATCGCCGGCCCCCAGGCTGCCCGCCCGCACGCGGGGCAGGGCTCAGGTCCTGCGGCTCCCCATGCCCCAGCCCCGCGGCGGGCTCCCGCGAGGTCTTAGCCCCCCGACGGGCACCGCCTCCCGCTCCGCGGCGCTCGGTCCCATCGACCGCCCCGCGGCCGAGGAGCGCAGACGCGAGGGACGGCCCCGGCGTGGACCCCGCTGGAGTGGCGGCGCGGGGAGCCCCGGCTCATTTAAGCCCGGAGCGCGAGCGCCGCGTGCCGGCCGCGCAGCCGCGCGCTGGGTCCGCCCCCCGTCCCCCGCCCCGCCCCGCCCGCCGGCCGTCGCGCCCTCTCCGCCGATCGCCCGGCAGGCGCGCCCGCCCAAGGCCGTTGGGCTCGCTGCAGGGCTAGCGGGTCCGGGCGCCGCCGTCTCGCCCCAGCTCCGCCGCTGACCATCACCCGGGAGGCCGAGGCCAAGGGGGGACCTGTACCCCCCACCCCCTGCGCGGCAGGGCGCCCGAGTGAGCCGGCCCGAGCCCTCGAGGCCTGCGACCGAGCGGGGGCCGTGGGGGCCGTCCCTAGCTCGGCAGCCCGCGCCGCCTGACCATCACCGTCCGCCTTCATAGATGAAATGGGCACCGATTTCTGGGCCACATAAGACCTCAGATCAGGGTCAAAACTCTACCCAGGTCCGCCCTGCTTCACTCCCTGCGAGGGGCAGGGGGGCAGGGACATGCGCGGGGCTTAGGGGCAAAGGGGCCCTGAGGCTCTCACCTTCCCTGAGAGCCTGGTGAGTTGATCTGACCGAAGGTAGCGATTCCTAACAGTACTGAGCGCTTCCTAGGTTAGCAGGCCCACTTGCAAACACTTTACATATCAACTCTTTAGTCCTCAGACTCACCTCCTGCGTTAGGGACTATTACGGGATGGGATAAACGAGGCCAGAGGAATGAAATAGTTTGTCTAGAGCCACAGAGCGAGTGAGGGAGGCAGAGCTGTGAACCCAGGAATTCTGCTACCAGCGACTGTCTTCTTAACCACTAAGCCACGCTGATAAAAATCTCCAAATTTGCAAATTATCTTGTTTTATTTTCTCCATAGTAAATCACGCCCTGAATTACATTCTCATCTACTTGTTTATTTGTTCATCACCTGTATCCCATTTATCCCATTCCATTAAAATATAAGCTGTTTGAGGGCAGGGAGACTACATTCATATATTCATTCAATACACACCGGATGTTTACTATGTGCAGAAGACAATGATAGGTTCTGGGGAAACATCCGTGGTTAAGGCTCTACCTTAATATCTTATCTATTAGTAGATAGAATATTTGTGACTGTATCTGACAGGTAGTAAGAACTCCATAAATGCTTGTCTAGTTATGGTTAAAGACAATATCCGGCCACTGAAAATAATCTCCAGCCATGTCAAGCTCTTCTCTCTTTCCTTCTAACCCTCTAAGAAAGGCACAAAAGTAAGTATTCACCAAGATTACAAATGAAAACATATTTAATAACAATATCAAGATATTTAGCCCTGCGTCATGTGCTATGGAAGATACAAAACCTGTGTGTGGGGGGCGCTCCTGAGGACAAATCACCTAAACTGAGACTGAGAAGAGAACCAACTAGTAAATAAAACATTTAAAAGCCTTTTCCACAAATATAATAAAGTCACATATTGGGAGACTAGAACAATAATAAGAGTTAAATCTATGTCACAAACAATGGCGGACAAAAAGAATCAGGAGGTAGGAGCCCTCTCAGCTTCTGGAGCATAACAGGTTCTTACTGCATAGTCGACTGAAGGAAGAATCAGTGTGTGTGATGTCATCAGAGAATGCTTCATGAAGGAGGCGACACACAAAGAATGGAAAGGCTGTGGGTGGCAAATGGAGAGAAGGTAGAAGAGCTCCCATGTCAGGCAAGCAACCGGGGTGAGCATCACATTTGGAGCAAGTACTGTGTTTGGTAATAAAGATAAAGTTGAATATCTTTATCTTTGGACTTTGATTATGGAGAACCTTGCTTGAATGCTAGGCAGAGGAGTTTGTACTTGATTCAGGAGGCCAGAGGCATAGTTTTTAGTATTGAGATAATGGAGTTCTGGGAAGATTACTCTGGAAGTTGAGGGTATAATAAAAGGGTGAAGATTAGAGCAACTGTAGTAACTCAGAAAGTATATACACAGGACTTTGTCATTTTGCTCTTACTGGCAGTACCATTTTGATGAAATCCTAAAAAGTCTTTTTTCACCTCTAGTAAGTCGGCTGGGGAATAGACTCCCAAGGAGTAGATTGGGAAATGTTTATTTTGGGGCTTCCTTTTAAGACCCCTATCTTTTGGACAAATACTAGTGTAATTGTCTATTATATAGGTTTTTCAAGTAATGTGGTAAAGCACAGACTATAGCTGAGAGTACTGCGTGGGCATATGTTAACTAAATCAGAAGGAAAGCAGTTTGTATATCTCTCAGCTGGGGAGTTGTGTATTTGAATTATTAGTTCCCTGGAAGACCACCCAGTAGCACCCAGTCTGTTTCCAGATTCTCTGCCAGATCCCAGGTGACTGAAGACTCTGATTTCTCTGCATCCTCCTGATCTTCCAGGTGTAGGTATAGCCTCTCCAACTCCTCACAGAATCATTCTTGTATTTTAATTTGGTTTTCTCTGATCAAGTGTCCTGCAGCACTTGAATGGTATGTAGCACTGACTTACTATTAGCTGCATTTTAAAAGTGCAGCATTTCATCTCTATGTTTATGTACTGAGCAGAATTTGGTTGTCTCTCCTTTTTTGCTAGAGTTTGGGAGCTAGATGATAGCCTAGAAAGGCAGGTTGTTATGTTAGAGATTTCTATGGACTACATGTTTATTTAAATTTCTCACAATTCATATGTTGAACTCCTAACCAGCAGTGTGACTCTTGAAGATGGGGCCTCTAAAGTTAAATGAAGTCATAAGGATGGGGCTCTGATTTGATTAGTGTCTTTATAAGATCTTACCAGAGCATAAGCATGAAGGAAGTGCCCCGTTAGGACATAGTGAGAAGGCAAGCCAGGAAGAGAGCTTTCACCAGAAACCAAATTGGCTGGAGCCTTGGATCTGGGACGTCAAGCTTCCAAAACTGTGAGAAAATAAATGTTGCTTAAGTCACCCAGTCTGTGGCATTTTGTTATGGCAGCCTGAGCAGACTGATACAGAGATATAACCAAGGAAAACAGAGGGATTTACATATACTAAACTGATGTACAGAAAATCTATTTGTAGTAAAGTAGGGATCTCACACTGCTTTTCTCACAGTGTGTAGATATGACTACAAGGATGGTGAAAATTTGGTGAGAAATACAATCATATAGGATCTCAGTGTATGAAGATTTCATTGTTATTATTCAACTGTAGGGTTTTTTTAGGGAAAGAAAACAGGAAAATTTTTACTTTTAAACTCATTATATTAGTCTGCTGGGGCTGCCATAATAAAATACCATAGACTGGGTGGCTTAAACAATAGAAATTAATTTTCTCACAGTTATGGAGTCCAAGATCATGGTGCTGATAAGATTGGTTTCTGGTGGGACCTCTCTTCCTGGTTTGTAGACTGCAGAGTTCCTGCTGTGTCTTTACATGGTCCTTCTCTGTGCACTGCAAACTCTTCATGCTTTTTCCACTACTAATAAAGACACCAGTCAGATTGCATAAGGTCCTGCCCTTATGACCTCATTTAACCTTAATTACATCCTTACAGACCATGTCTCCAAAAACAGTTCTATTGGGGAATTAGATCTTCAACCTATGAATTTTGGGATACACAATTCAGTGCATACACTCATGGACCAAAATTATTCCTGTGTTAATGATACTGAAGAAGAGCTGCCACTAGAGAGTCATACCTGTTCTTTCAAAACACTGTCACCTAAACTTGTTTTCAAATTAATGCTTAGCATAATTCCAAAGCAAGGAAGTTTTTAAGAAGTATTGCCTACTATATAAAGTATTTCAACGTTATCAGGAAAATTTCTTCTCATCCAGTTACCTTTACTTGATTGAGAGAAACTAAGGTCCTAATAATATTTCTTGGAATAATATTGCTAACGTATGGGATCTTAAAAGCCAAAATCCCATTTTAAAAGGAGACCTGTTTATGCTTAAACCTGTTTACAATAAGCTGAAATCAGTGCTACTTTCTTTGTACAACATGAAGCCATAATATTGAAGTGTAAAGTTCTTAATATAGTTATTTGGTATTATTTGCTATATAATATAACTTTCTTACATATTCATCTTAAGGGCTTGACTGAATATCTATGCTGCTTGATATAACTTTTTAATACTAGTGTGATTAGAATGCATACATTCAACTTCATATCAGTGTTATTCAATTCTTATATTTGTAAGGACGGTGTATCTAAATTCTTGCAATTATTAGTAACAAAACACAACCTAGTTCTTGTGCTATAAAACATGTAATCTGGAGAGAGGAGCCAAGATGACCGTGTGAGTAGGGCAGTGGAAATCTCCTCCCAAAACGATATATATTTTTGAAAATACAACAAATACAACTATTCTTAAAAGAGAGACCAGAAGATACAGTACAACAACAAGGCTACATCTACACCTGTGAGAACCCAGCATCTCATGAAGGGGCTAAGATACAAGCCACGGCCTGGCTGACCTGAGCACTCCCCCCACCCCAGCTCCCCAGCAGGAGGAGAGGAGGTGGAGCGGGAAGGGCGTGGGAGCCCAGGACTGCTAAATACCCAGCCCTAGTCACCTGCACCGGGAGCACAGACACACAGTGTATGGTGTGCTGGATACTAGGGAAACAGAGCAGTAAAATCTGTGAACGGGTTCCCACAGCAGGTGCCCCTGGGATAAAAGAAAGTGAGTGCTTTTTGGAGGTCTTAAAGGGACAGGAGCCTCACAGCTGGACAGAAGCATCCCGGCACACTTAGCCCAGCAGCTGGGAATCCTGGGGAACTCTAGGTGCCCTGACCCCCTGGGTGGCAGTGCAGCTCTGAGGCCCCTAACAGCGATAAATAGCCTCATATCCGTTCCCCCTCTGGTGCTGTCACGCCACAGCAGAGCAGCAGCCTGAGAATGTCCACACCCACAGAAGCCACCCAGAGCCTCTTCTGCAGCCACAAGGGCCAGACTGAAGGCCCTGTCAGCATGCAGCTGCCCAGCACAAGCCACTAGTGATTGCCATTCTTTAAGGAAGGGAAGGTACAGGCAAGCAGAAAGGGACTTTGTTCTCCCAGCTGACATATGCACCAACTGCCTACGACTACCTCTATCACCATGAA